CACTCCTCCTCCTTCCCCCCGACGACTGCTCCTTTGCAGACGCTCCATATGGACGTGTGGGGCCCAGCCCGCGTCCGTGGTCAGGGTCAGGAGAGGTACTTCCTGATTGTTGTTGACGACTTCTCGCGCTACACCACGGTCTTCCCCTTGCGCGCCAAGGGTGACGTCCCTGATGTCTTGATCCCTTGGATCCGCAGATCTCGTCTCCAGCTCAGTGAGCGTTTCCGCTCCGACTTCCCTGTCCTGCGTCTGCACTCTGACAGAGGTGGGGAGTTTTCCTCTGGCCTCTTGGAGGCCTTCTGTCAGCAGGAGGGCATTGAGCAGTCGTTCACACTTCCGGCCTCTCCACAGCAGAATGGGGTTGCTGAGCGCCGCATTGGCTTGGTCATGGAGGTCGCTCGTACCTCCTTGGTTCATGCGGCTGCCCCCCACTTTCTGTGGCCGTTTGCAGTCCGATACGCTGCGCATCAGCTCAACCTCTGGCCCCGTCTCTCCTTGCCGGAGACTTCTCCGACACTGCGTTGGACGGGAGAGGCTGGCGATGCGTCGCGTTTTCGGGTCTGGGGATCTCGAGCTTTTGTTCGCGACACGTCCGCGGACAAGCTCTCCCGTCGCGCTGTCCCCTGTGTCTTCCTTGGCTTTGTCCCGGACGCGCCTGGTTGGCAGTTCTACCACGCCACCTCGCGTCGTGTCCTTGCCTCTCAGGACGTCACTTTTGACGAGTCCGTCCCCTACTACCGCCTCTTCCCCTACCGCACTGCCCCGCTCCCCCCCCCGCCTCTCTTCCTCGCTCCAGGTGCTGAGGTACCAGACCCCCTCCCCCCTCAGGGTGCTGCTCCCTCAGGTGTGTCCCAGGTAGACCCGGTTGAGCCTGTCGAGGTAGCTGTTGACTCTCGAACTGCTGGGGGTACTGAGCCTGCCCGTGAGGAGTCTGGGGGTGCGGAGCCTGGGGGTGCGGAGCCTGGAGGTGCTGAGCCTGGGAGTGCGGAGTCTGGAGGTGCTGCGTCTGGGGGTGCTGCGTCTGGAGGTGCTGAGCCTGGGGGTGCTGAGCCTGACCGTGCTGAGTCTGGGGGTGCGGAGTCTGGGGGTGCTGAGTCTGGGGGTGCTGTGTCTGGAGGTGCTGATCCTGAGCGTGCTACACCTGGAGGAGCCCTCTCCTCCCAGCAGCTGCAGGAGAGGTACCTACAACACTGCCGCCTCCGGAGAGGTGCTACTGGAGCTCGTACCAGTACTTCCCCTCCTACCCAGGAGCTCCCCCCCATTCAGCAGATCCGAGAGTGGTACGCGCGGCGCTGCAGTCTTTGGAGTGGTGCTCCTGGTGCTGCGGACCCCAGCGGTGGCGCTGCTGCTGGTGCTGAGGACCCGGGCGTTGGAGCTACTGCTGGAGCTGAGGACCCGGACGGTGGAGCTGCTGCTGGTGCTGAGGACCCGAGCGGTCGAGCTGCTGCTGGTGCTGAGGACCTGGACGGTGGAGCTGCTGCTGGTGCTGAGGACCCTGCCGCTGGTGTCGCTGCTGGTTCTGGAGACGCTGCGCGGCCGCGACCGTACTTCGTACCACTTCTTCAGCAGGTTCTTGGTCAGGCTCCTCCTCCTTGTCCTCCTCCCTCCGTAGCGTGTCCTCCGCCTGTCCAGTCGCAGTCCCAGTTCCCGCCTGCCTCGCCTCTCCCTGCTCCTAAACCCTATACTGGTCCCACAGGAGGTCTTACAGAGCGTCGTGAGCCTGAGTCTCGTCCTGCGTCGCCTGTTCGTACTGCTCGCACTGGTCGTCGTGTCCCACGTGAGCGTCCTCCTCCTGTTCCTGGCACTCACTACATGACTCTGCGTCCCTCCACTGCTCCTCAGCGTGTCCCGCTGCCGTCTCCTCCTGCGTCCTCTCTGCCTACTCTTCCTGATCCGGAGTCTGACTCCCGTCGTGCTGCCAGTCCCACTGTCACCCGTCTCCTCGCTACTGTTGTCACTGACCCTACCTTTGAGTCCTCTGCTGCGTCTGCTCTGGTCGCTGAGTTGATCGACTTTGCTGCCCGGTGTCGTCTAGACTACGCCACTAGCCTTGTTGCTGAGTCTGAGTCTGTCTGTCCTCCGTCCGTCGGGGGTGAGTGTGCTCTTGGCACGGACGTCCTTGAGGACAGACAGGAGGAGTTCCAGTGCTTTGCTGCTGCTTTACCCCACCTCGTGTCCATGCTAGTTGCCCCTGAGGGAGACCCGGATGCACCAGACATCCCGACCCCGCGCACTTACGCTGAGGCGATGGCGGGTCCCTACTCCTCTCAGTGGCAGACAGCCATGGACGCAGAGATGGCTTCCTGGAAGTCCACAGGCACCTACGTCGACGAGGTTCCCCCACCTGGGGCGAACATCGTCAGTGGCATGTGGATTTTCAGGGTGAAGCGGCCGCCGGGTTCTCCTCCTGTCTTCAAGGCGCGCTACGTGGCTCGAGGCTTCAGTCAGCGAGAGGGAGTTGACTTCTTTCAGACCTTCTCCCCCACCCCGAAGATGACCACTCTTCGGGTGCTGCTGCACATAGCCGCTCAGCGCGACTACGAGCTCCACTCACTTGACTTCAGCACTGCTTTCTTGCAGGGCAGCCTGCACGAGGAGATCTGGCTGCGCCGCCCTCCTGGCTTCACTGGGTCGGTTCCTCCTGGTACCCAGTGGAGGCTTCAGCGGCCGGTCTACGGTCTCCGCCAGGCACCGCGTGAGTGGCACGACACACTGAGGACGACACTTGCGGCTCTTGGGTTCGCTCCCTCTACTGCTGACCTGTCACTGTTTCTACGCACAGACACCTCACTGCCGCCGTTCTACATCCTCGTGTACGTCGACGACTTGGTCTTTGCCACTGCTGACACCGCGGCACTCGCCCACGTGAAGTCGGAGCTGCAGAGGAGACACACGTGCACAGACCTGGGTGAACTGACAAGCTATCTTGGCTTGCGGATCACCCGGGACAGAGCACGGCGCACCATCACCTTGACTCAGTCACACATGGTGCAGCAGATCCTTCAGCGCTTCCGCTTCACGTACTCCTCGCCTCAGTCCACTCCTCTGCCTACCGGTCACTCGCTCTCAGCCTTGAGATCCACCCTGAGCTTGTTTTGCTTTGCTTTGACTGGTCTTGTGACCCCTTGCTCTCCCCCACTTTGCCTATGGGGGTGTGTCAAACATTATATATGTTGTGTTTGTTTAGGCTACAGTGGGTTAGCCTATAGGGGGTACACAATTCTAGGGTTAGGTACTTGTACTAATATCACTGTTAGTTCAATCATTCCTGTCCGTTCATTCTGTCAGAACGCCAAGAAACAGAACCAGAGCCAAGGCTGAAAGTGTAACCCTGTGACGACCGCTGCGTAGCCTGGTCGTCAACCCAAGAAGCGTCTGAGTGCCCAGTGAGGACCACCTCTCGCCGTCCTCCAAGCACGAGCCCCATGCCCGATGTACTGCACAAGTAGCGCAGTACCCTCTTCGCAGCATCCCAGTGCACCTTTCGGTGCCGACCAGGAGCCACGTAGCGAGCCAGAAGGCTAAGAGGGTACGCAAGGTCAGGACGAGTGCAGGTCATCAGGTACATGAGGCAGCCCACTAGCTCTGGGTAAGGACCACTCGGCTCTACGGACTCATCCGAAGGCAGAGCTGAGAGCGAGTGACCTATAGCCAAAGGAGTGGCCTGTGCTGAGGACCAGGTGAAGCCGAAGCGCTGAAGGACCTGCTGCACCATGTGTGACTGAGTCAGTGTGATGGTGCGGCGTGCTCGGTCCCGGGTGATCTGCAAGCCAAGGTAGCTGCGCAGCTCACCCAGGTCTGTGCACGTGTGTCTCTTCTGCAGCTCAGACTTCACCAGGGCGAGGGCCTCAGTGTCAGCAGTAGCAAAGACCAAGTCGTCGACGTACACGAGGATATAGAACGGCGGCAGCGAAGTGTCGGTGCGTAGAAACAGTGAAGGGTCAGCAGTCGAAGGCGCAAACCCAAGAGCCGCAAGGGTAGTCCTCAGTGTGTCGTGCCACTCACGGGGTGCCTGGCGGAGACCGTAGACTGGCCGGCGGAGGCTCCACTGGGTACCAGGAGGGAACGTCCCAGTGAAGCCAGGTGGGCGGCGCAGCCAGATCTCCTCGTGCAGGCTGCCCTGTAGGAAAGCTGTGCTGAAGTCAAGAGAGTGAAGCTCGTAGTCACGCTGAGCGGCAACGTGCAGCAGCACCCGAAGAGTAGTCATCTTCGGGGTAGGGGAGAAGGTCTGGAAGAAGTCAACTCCCTCTCGCTGACTGAAGCCTCGAGCAACGTAACGCGCCTTGAAGACAGGCGGAGAACCTGGCGGCCGCTTCACCCTGAAAATCCACATGCCATCGACGATGTTCGCCCCGGGAGGGGGAACCTCATCGACGTAAGTGCCTGTGGACTTCCAGGATGCCATCTCTGCGTCCATGGCTGCCTGCCACTGAGAGGAGTAGGGACCCGCGATCGCCTCAGCGTAAGAGCGCGGTGTGGGGATGTCTATAGCATCCGGGTCTCCCTCAGGGGCAAGCAGCATGGCCACAAGATGAGGCGCAGCGGCTGCAAGACACTCAAGGTCCTCCTGCCTGTCCTCAAGGACGTCCGTGCCAAGGGCACACTCACCCCCAACGGACGGAGGACAGACAGACACAGACTCAGCAACAAGACTAGCAGCGTAGTCTAGACGACAGGCAGCAGCAAAGTCAACAAGCTCAACAACTAAGGCAGACGCAGCAGCAGACTCAAACGACGGGTCAGTGACAACAGTGGCTAGCAGACGCGTGACAGTAGGGTGCTCAGCACGAAACCGGTCAGACTCAGGGTCCGCGACGTCAGGCAAAGAGGACGCAGGTGGAGACGGAAGAGGAGTACGCTCCGGAGTAGGGGACCGACGCAGGGCTACAAGGCGTGTGCCGGGGACAGCCGGCTGACGCGGACGAGGAACACGACGACCAGTACGACCAGGACGAACAGGCGAGACAGGACGCGATGCAGGCTCACGACGCTCAGCAAGACTACCTGTCTGCTCAGTGTAAGGAGAAGGAGCAGGCAGCGGTGAGCCAGGCTGTAACGGAAGACCAGTAGACGACGGGAGAATAAGAACCTGACGAAGAACAGAGTCAGGCGGCGGCAGAGACGACGGAGACGGCGGAGCGAAGAACAGTCGTGTCGGCGCAGCTGCACCAGTACCGGCAGCTCCAGCAGCTCCAGTACCTCCAGCAGCTCCAGCACCTCCAGCAGCTCCAGAAGCTCCAGCCCCAGAACCGACACCTCCAGGCCCAGGGTCTCCAACCTCAGTGCCTCCAGCAGCAGCACCCCCAGAACCAGCACCTCCAGTCCCAGGGTCTCCAGCCTCGGTGTCTCCAGCAGCAGCACCTCCAGACGCAGCACCCCCAGCCCCAGCAGCTCCAGTACCTCCAGTACGAGCACCTCCGGGTCTAGCGGCTCCAGCACCTCCAGTAGACAAAGTACCAGCACCACTCCTAGCTCCAGGGACGTCAGCAGAAGTACCTCCAGCAGCAGAGCCCCGAGCTCCAGCAGCGCGAACCTGACGGCGACCGTACCAGTCGTGCAGCTGCTGCGAGGTGAGAGGCACACGGGGACGAAGGCGGCTACTCCAAGGAGACCGCGCAACAGCAGACTCTGAACCCTCAGCGCCAGCACCCTCAGCAGCTCCAGCGCCACCAGCACCAGGACCTCCAGCAGCTCCAGAACCTCCAGCGCTCGCACCCTCAGCAGCCCCAGAACCACCAGCTCCAGCGCCACCAGCACCAGGACCTCCAGCAGCTCCAGAACCTCCAGCGCCCGCACCCTCAGCAGCCCCAGAACCACCAGCTCCAGCACCTCCAGACCCCTCACACGCAGGCTCAGCACCCCCAGGCTCCACACTCTCAAGCTCCGCACCCCCAGGCTCAGCACCCCCAGAAGTAGCACCCCGAGCAGGACCACCCCCAGTAGGACCTGAGTCACCAGTGACCTCGACCGGCGCAGGGAAGGGAGGAGGGTCTACCTAAGACACACCTGAAGGAGCAGGACCGGGAGCGGGGAGGGGGTCTACCTGGGGAGCACCTGGAGCGAGGAAGAGCGGCGGGGGAGGGAGAGGGGCAGTGCGGTAGGGGAAGAGACGGTAAAAGGGAACCGACTCATCGAACGTGACGTCCTGAGACGCAAAGACACGGCGCGAGGTGGGGTGGTAAAACTGCCAACCAGGCGCGTCAGGGACAAAGCCAAGGAAGACACAGGGAACTGCACGGGCGGAGAGCTTGTCCGCGGTGGTATCGCAGACAAAGGCACGAGCACCCCAGACCCGAAAACGCGACGCATCGCCAACCTTCCCCGTCCACAGCAGCGTGGGCGAGGTCTCCGGCAAGGAGACACGGGGCCAGAGGTTGAGCTGATGCGCGGCGTACCGGACCGCAAACGGCCACAGAAAATGGGGGGCAGCCGCATGGATCATGGAGGTACGAGCGACCTCCATGACTAAGCCAATGCGGCGCTCAGCAACCCCATTCTGCTGTGGAGAGGCCGGAAGCATGAACGTCTGGCGGATGCCGTGCTCCGCACAGAAGGCTGCCAAGAGGTCTGAGGAGAACTCACCACCTCTGTCAGAGTGCAGACGCAGGACGGGAAACTCCGTCCCGAACCGCTCGCGGAGCTGGAGACGGGCAGCGCGGATCCAAGGGATCAAAACAGCAGGGACTATCAAGATAGTAAGGACAGTGAGAAGCCATAGCTAGGGTTGACCTAGCTAGGCAAGCAAGAAATGAACAAAGGAGAGGTTGCACTAGTAAGAATGGGGATACAAATAGCAAACCCTAGAAGGGTTGTACTCGCTATAGAGCACCCCACTACAGGCTAGAGCATAATATTCTGACACACCCCCATAGCCAAAGTGGGGTGTAATCAGCAGAGCAAGCAAAACAGTACAAGCTCAGGGTGGATCACAATGTCACCACACATTCTGAGCACAAGTTCAAGAAGCAATAGTTTAAAGTTCACAATTATGAGCAAAGCTAGAGGCAGTCACAGAGGGCAAGTGAGGAGGAGGAGGGCTGGCGAGAGGAGAGAAGAGTGGAGGCGACGACTGAAGCTGCAGACACACGGGCAACAGACGGCTCTGGTGCAACTCTAGTGGCTACCGGGAGCAAGGGCCCCGGAATACAGGAGTAACAGGCTCTGCGTCTGATCAGCAGCGACAGGAGCAACGGACCCACGGGCGACAGGTGCAACCGGCTCTCTGAGCTACCGGTGGCTATCAGAACCCCGGAATACAGGCGCTGCGGACGACACGACGGCGGCCTCCGCTCAACCTCCCCCAACAGTCCCACACTCCTTGACACACACCCCCTGCTTCGCCCCTAGCTCCACTCCCCTTTCACCCCCCCCTTAGTACCACTCCGACGGCTCCAACAGGTCCACCCCCCTCAGCGGCAGCTGCAGCACAGGGAGACGGAGGAGGAGGAGGAGCAGGGAACGGCACACAGAAGCTGCACCCCCATACCCCCCACCCCCAAACCCTAATCCAGGAGTACGGGCAGAAGGAGGGGTGGGGCGCCTTCAGAAGCACGGGGGACAGCGGGGAGGACAGGGGCAGCGAAGAACGGGCCGCCCACGGGTCTGGCACAGCCTCCCGAACCGCGCGCAGGCGGCCCGAGCCGCGCGCGGGCCTGGCGCAGCCCGTACGGGCCGCGCGCCGGCTGTACGGGCCGCGCGCAGGCCACGACGGGCGACGGGGGGCGACGCGCGGGTCCCCGTCGCCCGTCGCAGCGCCTCCCGGGAGCAACGCGCGGTGTGACGGGGCAGAAACCCGCCGCGCGCCTCGGGGCGCACGGCGGGCAGAGAACCGCCGCGCGCCTCGGGGCGCACGGCGGGCTGAAAACCCTAATTTCAACGCCGCGTACCACGAGGCGCGCGGCGGACAGGGAGTAGCAGTAGCAGCGGAAGCAGTGAAGTGGTGGGCCCACAGGCCAGGAGCGTAACCGCTCTGTTACCATTTTAAAAAACAATAGGAGTGGGGCCTAGGCTTAGTAGCCTAGGCCCACACTAAGAGGTAGTAGGATGTGCCCTAGGACTAGGGTTTTGGGTATGTGAAGGAGAAATGGAGAAGAGGAATGATGAAAGGGTGGCGGGAGTGTAGCCGCAGGAACCAGCCGATGCCCTCCTCTCTCTCCTCTCTCCCTGCAGCGCCTGTCGCTGTGGGGGAATGGGGGGAGTGTGAGGGGTTGGCAAGAGAGAGTTTGTTGCGCCAACAGCCGTCCCCCCTCCTCTCTCTCTCACTGCTGCGCGTGCAGCTGTGGGGGGGAGGGTGAGAGAGGGTGGCGGAAGTGAGCCAGGCATCTGCTGCTGCCGCCTGCTGCTTTCGTGGCACCTCCAGCTGCCGCCCCTGCTGCCACCTGCCCTTGCTTTTGCTGCCTGCTGCTCTGATACCATATCAAGATAGTAAGGACAGTGAGAAGCCATAGCTAGGGTTGACCTAGCTAGGCAAGCAAGAAATGAACAAAGGAGAGGTTGCACTAGTAAGAATGGGGATACAAATAGCAAACCCTAGAAGGGTTGTACTCGCTATAGAGCACCCCACTACAGGCTAGAGCATAATATTCTGACAAGGACCTCCCCCTTGCTGCGCAAGGGAAAGACCGTGGTGTAACGCGTGTAGTCGTCAACAACCAGCAGGAAGTACCGCTCGTGGCCCTGTCCACGGACGCGGGCTGGGCCCCACACGTCCAGGTGGAGAGTCTGCAGGGGAGCCTCTGTGGGAGGGAACGAGGAGGAGTGAGGAGCGGCGCGCTGGCGCCCCTCGACGCAAGGAATGCAGGGCGGCGCAAGCGAGGGAGGCAGGGCAGGCAAAGACCTGGGCAGACCAGAAACCAGGAAGCGAGAGTGCATGCCACGAAGGCGCTGCACCGAGGGGTGACCAAGGCGGTGGTGCCACAGGAGGGTCTGGTGCGACAAAGCGCGACACTCGCAGGGGGCCGTCGGCTGACCGGACGCAGACGCAGCTACCTGAGGGGACTCAGTGGTCAGGGTGTACAGACTCGAGCCAGGCGCACGGGAAAACGTGGCCAGGTGTCGGCCGGTCCGAGCACACGTACAGTGAGTCACTCGCTGACTCGCAGGAGTGAACTGGTGCACCCCCCTATCCTGGAGGTCAGCTCCACTCACCAAGTTCGTAGAGAACGAGGGGAGGTAAAGACCTGACAGCAAGCCAGACGGGGCGGCCGGACACGGCAGAACCGTGGAGTAGTGGGCAAGGACCGGACCCCCGGAGGGGTTCGCCATGGAGACTGGAACCGGCCGACTAAGCGGCGTGAGTGTGGTACAGTCGCGAAAGAAGGAGCGGGAAGCACCTGAGTCAAGCGTGAAGGTGTACAAGGCCGCAGCAGGCGCAGAACCAGAGAGAGCAGACTCACCAGCACCTAGAGCAGGGGACGTGCTAGCACCTAGAGCAGCAGCCTCACCAGTACCTAGAGCAGGAGACGCACTAGCACCTAGAGCAGCAGCCTCACCAGCACCGAGAGCAGCAGGCTCTATACCAGGGTCAGGCGGTACGCACAGGTAACAGGCACGGTCAGCACTAGTAGGCAATGCATACATGGTAGTGAGAATAGCATCATAGTCAGGAGCAAAGATATCTACCCTCTGTCCAAGCAGCTCCAGCCAGTCGGGGAGCTCAGCCTCGTCGCCAAACACTGTACGCCAGTCGTCGCTCAGACGGGCGAAGCAGCGGGATTGTGTGTGACCAAGCGTCCCGCAAGGCTGACCAACCCGATCACCTGTGCGAATGACGTACTGGCAGCGAACTGTACGCGTAGACCTGCTACACTGAGCGTACCACTCGTGGAGCTGCCGGGACGTAAGTGTCTCGCGCGGACGCCGCTGCAGCTGCAGCTGGCCACTGCCAGACGCTCCCAACTGACCAGCTCCAGGGGGACAGCTACGACGGCTACCGCGACAACCCCAGCTAGTATACCACTCACTAAGCTGCTGGGGCGTGAGAGACTCACGTGAACGTCGCTGGAGCTGCATCTGGCCACCTGCCAGTAGCAGTAGCGGCAGCAGTAGCGCGGGCAGGGCAGGCGCGGCAGGCCGACAGGCAGGCAGGCCGGCAGGCAGACAGACAGACAGGCCGGCAGGCAGGCAGGCAGGCAGGCAGGCAGGCAGGCAGGCAGGCAGACAGGCAGGCCGGTAGGCAGGCAGGCAGGCAGGCAGGCAGGCAGGCAGACAGACAGGCAGGCCGGCAGGCAGGCAGGCAGGCAGGCAGGCAGGCAGGCAGGCAGGCAGGCAGGCCGGCAGGCAGGCAGGCAGACAGGCAGGCCGGCAGGCAGGCAGGCAGGCAGGCAGGCAGGCAGGCAGGCAGGCAGACAGACAGGCAGGCCGGCAGGCAGGCAGGCAGGCGCTCACCAAAGGCTAGAAGAGCAGGCGCTCGCCGGGCGAGCAGGGCCGGCGCTCGACGGGCGGCGGCCGAGTAGGCGCACGACAGCGGCGACGTCGGGGCCGCAACACCCGGTGCAGAGTAGGGCCGAAGCAGCTGCAGGGCGGGGCCGCTTCAGCGGCAGGTCGGGGCCGTGGCAGCTGCAGGGCGGGGCCGTATCAGCGGCAGGTCGGGGCCGAGGCAGAGGGACGCGCGCGGCTCGGCGCGGGCTGCGCTGACAGCGCGCTGGGCTGCTGCAGGCCGCGCGCGGCCGCGCTAGGCAGTAGCGGGCCGCGCGCGGCTCGGCGCGGGCTGCTGCGGGCCGCGCGAGGCAGTAGCAGGCCGCGCGCGGCTCGGCGCGGGCTGCTGCGGGCTGCTGCGGGCTGCGCGCGGGCCTCGCGAGGCAGGAGCAGGCCGCGCGCGGCTCGACGCGGGCTGCGTGGGCTCGGCGCGGGCTGCGCGTGGCTGCAGTGGGCTGCGCGCGGCTCGGTGCGGGCTGCGCGCGGCTCGGTGCGGGCTGCGCGGGCTCGGTGCGGGCAGCGCGCGGCAGCAGCGGGCTGCGCGCGGCTCGGTGCGGGCTGCGCGGGCCTGAAGGGCGTGTAGGGGCGGCGCGCGGGCCTTACGGGCCTCTAGGGGCAGCGCGCTGGCCTAGGGCAGCAGGAGGCAGCGCTAGGGCTGCTGGACGGCTCGCGTAGTGCAGCACGTCACAAGGCAAGGCAAGGCAGGCAGGTACGTGGGGTAGCGCGGTAACCGCAGCGGTAGGTGGGCCCGAAAAAAAAACGGTCCTACGGACCTTAGTGCTCTGAAACCATGTTAGAATCTAGCAGCAGGAATGGATGAACTAACAGCATGCAGGAGTACAAGTAGTAAACCCTAATTGGGTTGTACCCCATATGGGCTACCCCACTACAGCCTAGACAATATGCAGCATATATGTTTGACAAAAAGTACAGTAACTGGTTACCAAGTAACACCGTCTTGGTCCACTCTGGTCCGAGCTACTTTCTGGGTCCGCCAGGCAAAATCTCAGTGATTGATCTGGTCCGTCAGAACAGTCTGCAAGATTCGTGTGGACCATGGTTTGGGCCTGGTCCGTCGGACCAGGGGCCACACGGTCCCTGAGTAACACGCCCTCAGCATGGTCCGAGAAGTGAACAAGCCAGCACGAAGAATTCCGACCAAACAGATTCCTCTTCCATTTCCAGCGTGAAAGCTCTCCCACCACCTCGCGCTGCGTACAGCTGAGCAGCTGAGGTACAGTAGTGGGAAGAGCATAGGCAAATAGAGCGTGAGCAGCTGCGTGCAACCAGAACATTTTGTAGCCTGATGTTGGGGCAAAGTCAGGACATCATGCATTCATGCGTTCGTTCCCAGCAAACACACTTCTCTTCCTCCTCGCTGTTTCACAATCCAGCGCATTTGCATCCACACATGTTCCACAATCGACGCTTTTCATGATTTCTATAAGATCCTTCGGACTTTTGGATTAGTCTCAAATAATAGCGTCTAGGCTCGACTTGCTGCAGCATTTCAAAAATAATTGGCGGCCTGTGCTCGTTGACTACTTGAGAGAACAATCGCGGAGCATCGAAGATGGGTTGCTGCTTTTCTGGCACGAACGGTGAGATACGAGAATCTCGTGTTAACAAAAGGTACTCTACGCGAGGTGTTCGTTGAAATCGGTTCCTCTATGTCTCCTTGAAAGCTTACCTTTTCTGCTTCATATTTTTTTGCGCCCAGCTTCTAGGAGTCCTATCATGATTACTTATCGAGACTTCTCCCAGAGAAATCAATTTCTACTTGTTCTTTGCATTCGGTCGGCTTTCGTTTCACATTGTGATTTCCAGGCAAAATAAATGAATAAATAAATGAATAAATAAATAAATAAATAAATAAATAAATAAATAAATAAATAAATAAATAAATAAATAAATAAATAAATAAATAAATAAATAAATAAATAAAATCGCGTTCCTCGTAGCAATCGCCATTCCCGTGACGATGAAGGCTTCGGTGGGTCATGCGGACTGCATCATGCTTCCGCGGTATACCGCGGAATTGTCGATTTCTGAGTGAACTCCAACAATTCATCGTTTAGCAATCGCCATCCCCGTGGCGATGAAAGGCGGTGTGTGCGGACTGCCGGATGCGCGGTATGCGCAGGATAGATATGGACTTTGCCTTGAAGGAACCCGGAGGACACTCGCACTCGACTATCCCCCGGATCAACCCTACTTCTCCCCCTTTCTCTCTCCCCCCGTTCTTCCTCTCCAACCCCACCCCCCTTTTCCGCCGTTCCCCTTTCCGCCTCTCCTTCCTGGTGCGCGCGCCTAGCAGGCAGGGTGGTCCTCGTAGTGATGCGGGCGGTGAGGGGGGACGATACGCTGTGCGGTACTCCTCGTGGCAGGACCACTTGTCCCCACCCCGCAGTCCCCACTCCCCACTCCTCTCTTCCCGTCAGTGAAGCCACGAATAGAAGCCAGTGAATGTGGTCGATACTCACAGATCCGTTTTCCCACCATTTCCCCATTCCCCTCCCACCACCATTCCCTCCCAACCCCTTCCCTTTCCCCTCCCCCTCTAGAGGACCCTCGTGAATTGAAACCTGTGGAAATGAAGGCTGTGGTCGCGGAGGGCGCGCTGCCGCGGTACTCGCAGGAGGAGCTGCGGCAGGCGACGGGCGACTGGCGCACCAAGCTGGGGGAAGGCGGCTTCGGCGCCGTCTACAATGGCATGCTGCTGCTGCCGCGCATTGGGGGGGATGGGGAAGGGGGAGAAGGCGGGGGAGGGGACGGGGAAAGGAGCGGAGGGGGGGACGGGGGAGAAGAAGGGGGAGATGACGTTAAAGGGAGCAATGGAGGGGAGGGAAGAGGGGATCATGGGGAAGGGGACGGGGGAGGGGGGGACGATCGGAATGAGGAGGAGGTGGAAGGGGGGATGGATGGCTTGGAAGTGGTGGAAGCGGGTGGGAGGGAGTTTGTTCCGGTGGCGGTGAAGATGTGCTTGACTGACGATGATGAGAGCGGGGCAAGAGAGCAGCTTCTGATGAGTTACGGCCATGAGAGGGTTATTAATGAAGACGGGTTACAAATGAACACAGGTTACAAAAACACTTACCTGATAAGTCATCAACAACTCCCCTTTCTCCTCTTAGGCTCACTTCAACGCTCACCCCAACAAAATTCTAACTTCTCTTTCCCTCCCCCCATCCTCTCCTCCCTCTCTTCGCCATCAAACGGAAATCATGGTGGTAATGGCCCTGCACCATCTCAGCATTCCGCGCCTGCTGGGAGTGGCCGTCATAAGGAGAACCCTTAGACCCCCCTGCACCCTCCCTTGTCATATGTCATGCACAAGTCATGCTCGTGATGCTCCCTCCATTCTCCTCCCCTCCACCATCCCCCTCAGGCCCCGTCCCTCCCCTCATCCTCTCCTCCCTCTCTTCTCTCTTCCCCCGACAGAGGTCGTGGTGATGCCCGCCCTGCACCATTTTTGAGTCGACTCAAAAGTCGTGGTGATGCCGGCCCTGCACCATTGTCCCTTTCTTCCCCTTCCCACGACCCTCCCCTCCCCTCCTCTCTTCCCTTACCTCACCACTCTCCACTCCTCCTCTTTCGCAGACGGAGATCATGGTGATGACGGCCCTGTGCCATCCCAACGTGCTGCGCCTGTTGGGAGTGGCTGTGATGAAGCAACAAATCGCCATGGTCTCTGAGTTTGTCCCGGGCGGAGATGTTTCGCAGCGAATAACGTACGTGCGTGGGGTGGAGAGAGAAGGGGGGGGGCGGGGAGGGAGGGGGGGAGGGAGGAATGTGGTGGAATGGGTGGAATGGTATGGGTACTTGCACACATGCTGGCGCGAACCATTGTCCCGGGTGGGCGGAGGTGTTTCCCAGCGCCTCAAGAGAGGTAGTGCGGTGTCATGAGGTGCTGTGCGGTGTATGTGATGTCATGCGATGTGATGGAGTATTGTTTCTCGAACAAAGACGGGCCTGCGGTGTGGAAGGGCGCAGCGTTTTCTGAGATAGCAAAGGGAAGGGAACACGCCTAGCAGGTGGGGTCAAGCCTAGCAGGTGGGGTCAAACCTAGCAGGTGGGGTCAAGCCTAGCAGGTGGGGTCAAGCCTAGCAGGTGGGGTCAAGCCTAGCAGGTGGGGTCAAGCCTAGCAGGTGGGGTCAAGCCTAGCAGGTGGGGTCAAGCCTAGCAGGTGGGGTCAGGCCTAGCAGGTGGGGTCAAGCCTAGCAGGTGGGGTCAAGCCTAGCAGGTGGGGTCAAGCCTAGCAGGTGGGGTCAAGCCTAGCAGGTGGGGTCAAGCCTAGCAGGTGGGGTCAAGCCTAGCAGGTGGGGTCAAGCCTAGCAGGTGGGGTCAAGCCTAGCAGGTGGGGTCAAGCCTAGCAGGTGGGGTCAAGCCTAGCAGGTGGGGTCAAGCCTAGCAGGTGGGGTCGAGCCTAGCAGGTGGGGTCGAGCCTAGCAGGTGGGGTCAAGCCTAGCAGGTGGGGTCAAGCCTAGCAGGTGGGGTCAAACCTAGCAGGTGGGGTCAAGCCTAGCAGGTGGGGTCAAGCCTAGCAGGTGGGGTCAAGCCTAGCAGGTGGGGTCAAGCCTAGCAGGTGGGGTCAAGCCTAGCAGGTGGGGTCAAGCCTAGCAGGTGGGGTCAAGCCTAGCAGGTGGGGTCAAGCCTAGCAGGTGGGGTCGAGCCTAGCAGGTGGGGTCAAGCCTCCTCCTTCTTCCCTTTACCCACCTTTCCCCCCTTTCCCCCTCCCCTTCCGCTCCCCTCTGCTCACAAGCACTAGAGAGTAAGGCCACAGTAGCATCAGTAAACAGTCAGCGTCTTCCTTATGACAGATCTGCATCAGACCGGCCAGCGGGGCAGAAAAACTCGCATGAAGCTTGCCCATACGCCCTTGCATTTGTGTCCCTCTTTCACCCCAAGCCCACGGTTATCTTGCTCACTCCTTCCTTTCCACGCAGCAGGAAAGGCACACCATCTGGTTCCCAAAGCAGTGGGAAGTGTGGCAATTCATGCTTGTCCGTGCCTCTTCCCGCCTGCTCCCCCCCCCCCTTATGTGCGCAAGCAGCAGCCAAAGGCATGGAGCCCTTTTTTTTGGAAGGAGCGGCTGCACATTGCGAGGAGAAGCCTTGAGGGGCTGGCAGGCAGCCATTCACAGGAAGGGGTTCCTATTTAAGTCGACTCGAACTCCCCCCCGGCTCCCCCCCACTCCCCCTTCTCCCCTGATATGTGGAAGCAGCAGCCAAAGGCATGGAGCCCTTTCCTTGGAAGGACCGGCTGCGCATTGCGAGGGGGAGTCTTGAGGGGCTGGCAGCGATCCACAGGGAGGGATTCATCCACCGCGACTTCAAAGCTGCCAATGTGCTTCTAACGAAGGTGAGTCGCTTCAGTGTGCTCCTAAAAAAGGTGAGTCACTCCACCCAGCTATGCTGAATCTGTTCTTGAAAATTCTTGGAAAACAAAATGTGATTGTGACGAAGGTGAGTTGCTTTAATGTGCTCCTAATCAAGGTGAGTCACTCCACCCAGTTATTGAACGCCTTGATTGATTAGAAACACACTGAAGCTTCTTTCCAGACGCGAGCTCCCAAAGTGATGGTTTTTAGATTACCCAAGCATGCCTGACCAAAACACATTACCTTGCTGTCTCGGACTGACCTCTCCCACCTGCTATTTCTCGTTCTTGCTTTCAATCCGCATGTCTCCAGACGCTCGTTCCCAAGGTGGCGGATTTTGGATTGGCCAAGACATGCCAGGACAGGACACATGTCACGACGCGGGTGGCTGGGTCGATTGGCTATATGGACCCTGCTTACTTTGAAAGAGGTGAGCTAGCTAGCTGTGTGTGTTCTGGCTGTGTTGTGGCTCAAGGCACAAGAGAGAGGTGAGTCAATAAGAGGCGTGTTCTGGCTGTGTTGTGGTGGCTCAAGGCACAAGAGAGAGGTGAGTCAATAAGAGGCGTGTTCTGGCTGTGTTGTGGTGGCTCAAGGCACAAGAGAGAGGTGAGTCAATAAGAGGCGTGTTCTGGCTGTGTTGTGGTGGCTCAAGGCACAAGAGAGAGGTGAGTCAATAAGAGGCGTGTTCTGGCTGCATGGACCGGCATACTTGAAGAGAGAGAGGTGAGCCGCCGTGTTGGCTGCTCTGCACAGATTCACAATCTCGCAGCGTTGGCTATTTGTTCTGCCTCCTGTGATCATAATTCAGGTATGTGCACGGTATTTGGGAATCACTCGAGAGATTTCTCAGAATAGGTATGTGTATAGTTCACCCACAGTACAGCGAACAAGGTTAGCTGTTTCCAAAGATTGTTTTTCCTCGGAATTTTCTCATATCCAGAGAAATGAGTTGGCTCTTGGCTCGCCATATTTCGTGAAGGTGTGCGATCCAAAGGACGTCCCCAGCATCTTCCTTTTCTCACCCCTTGCAATTTGTACTTCCTCACACTCACCCAACCTCCTTTCCGTGCTCTCTCATACTCACCCCCCGAGCGCCCTTGCACGCAACCCTTGCATCATCAGAAGCTTCCTAGAAATGAGATTCTGCACATGGCTCTTGCAGTCTTCATTCTTGTTCCTTGACCTGCCTCAGAACGAAACATCATCTAATGAGGCACATCGTAACGAGGCTCTTGATCTTGTCGCATCTCACTCTGATCCATCCTGTTCCCAAGTTATGAGACGTCTCAAGCCCCCAATCCGTGTATCCCGGTTGCTCTTCCACCCGTTCTCTGCTTCAGGTTTCTTAACAACGCATTGCGACACGTACGCATTTGGCATTTTCCTGCTAGAGCTCGTCGCCGGGCGAGGTGTGCTGGACGAGTCATTTTCAGGACTGAGGGAACTCCTGCAGGACCTAGCGTTCAGGGAATACGACGAGTTGATTGACAGGAATCTGGAGGGGCAGTGGACGGAGGAGCAAGCGGAGGTTCTGGTGGGCATGATGCGAGATGCGATTCAGAGTGACTGGGCCGATCGACCCACTACGGAACAGTTGCTGGTGAAGTGGAGGAATAATCTGAATCTAGAGTAAATCATATATCTTCTCAATCTCCTTTGGTCTCGACAAATTATGGTTTGCATTGTTGTGTCGCACGCATTTGGCAATTGGAACCATGTATATATATCAATATGTGAAGGCTAAGTTGCCCTTTGTACATGATCAAGTACGGTAATCTACAAGGGAACCAGGGGGGTATGTGGGTCTAGTTTGGTCTGCAAGGTAACTCCAATGGCCCCAGCCCCTCTCCACCACCCCCTGATTTTTGTTCACACTTGAGTCTTGACCATAGCATGGATACCCCAACTTCAAGTAGAAAAACTTCGCTGTCTGCAACTCAATAGTGTACCACCACTAGGAGTCGAAGGGACTCACGCCCCTTAGCACCTAGGAGCCGCTGTCCTCGCGTTCTCTCGTAAACGCGTGCAGCCACGACTGCGCCTAGAGCTAGGACGAGCCGCCGTCCCTCGACATGGCCGAACACATCGACGTTACGACACACGCAGGAGCGCCTGAACGAACTGCTGCAGCAGCTGCGCGAAAATTCCGAAGAAATCGCGGCGTTGACGACAGAACGCACGTCGCTGCAAAACGACCTCGCACAGGCGCAACAAGCACAATCACAAGCACAAGGCACATAGAGACAAGCAGCACGACAGGCTTCACAACATGGAAGCGTGGGCGAACACTCGAACGCGGCTAGTGATGGCGTCGCCCGCATTGACGGAGACGACGACCACAGCGCGACACACCCCGAAGCGACGAATGCGGCCAGAAGCCAACCTTTTGTCACGATTTCGTTGCCGACCGGCGAGTTAGCACTGTCGTCGCCGATGCCGCTCAAGCCGCAGCGTCCGCCTTGCTTCGATCCCAGACAACAGGGTGATCCTACTGTTCAGGCGTGGTTGTTCACGATGAACGTTTTCTTCGACGCCAACTACGACTCTGAGGACTCGACGAAGATTCGCTACGCTGTGTCGCTGCTGCGAGGACCCGTCATGAATTGGTGGCACGTCATCGTCATGAAGCCGGTGGACTACGAGACTCTACCGACGCAGGAAGGACAAACGGGACCCTGGGCGCCACCGTATTTCGTAGAAGTGCCCCAGAATTCACTTGGGACGCGTGGTGCGCAGGTCTGCGCGTGAGATTTGAGCCAATTGCGGCTTCGATCGCGGCGCGTCAGAGGCTCCGCACTTGGCGCCAGCTCGGTTCCGTCCAGGACTACAGCATCGGGTTCCTGGCGCTGTGTGAGCAGGTGGGCTACATTCACGAGGGCGAACGCATCGACCGCTACATCGGCGGCCTGAAACACGAGATCGCCCAGGAAATCCATCTCCGCAGTGTCACTGAATTCCAGGACATCCTCGCTATGGCGGAGAAGCTTGACTTCTTACGCCGACCGAGACCGGGGTCCTACAGCAGCAGCAGTTGCTGGGGAAATCGTCCTCGCGGGACGAACGAGCACGCCACGATACGCGCTGTCGCCGCGAATGCCGCTGCCGCACCGTTCAAAGGGCGCTGCTTCGCGTGCAACAAGCTTGGACACTGCAAAAGCGAATGCCCAGAAAACGCTACGGGAAAGGGGGGAGCTGAGCAGCAGATCAGACTAAGCAGCAGGGAAACGCTGGGAGTCAGTAGCAAATGGGCCCTCTACTGACAGGTCGCCCGTGCCAACCGACCCTTACCGAGTGATTGTGCCAACCGACTCTGAAACTGCCACTAGACAGGTGTTTACCTGAAATTGACACAAGACTGGTTTACGGCAAGCCACTGGTGATACCGGAACGCGTGAGCCGAGTTCGGATTCGATGCAGGGGTAGCTTCACGTTTAGCCAGGAAATGCTCGCAACGACCCTCGACGGGGCCGACATTTTACTCGGTCGTGATTGGCTGCGACGACACAATCCGCGAATCGACTGGACGACGGGTGACTGCACAGTGCGCGTGAATGGTAGCAACATTGCTTGCCTCGCTGAGGCTCGCATGAGTCTTCGTCGGTGCATGTGAACGCGATCACGATGAAACACGCCGTAGCGGCAGGAGCTGACGTGTATGCGGTTGACATCCGGGAAGCCGAGGCAGCAGATGAGGGGAGCGATTTACAGAAACTGCTCGTCGACGTACCGGGTGACCTGGCAGCATTACTGAAGCAGTACAGTGGGATTTCCCAGACGATCTGCCAACAGGACAGCCACCTCAGTGACCGCACGACCACAGGATAGAACTAGAGCCGAGGGCACAACCGACTATACAGCGAGAGTTCCGACTAACCCAACCCGAACAAGACGAACTACAGAAGCAGCAAGATTACTTGCTCGAGAAAGAGTTTATTTGCCCGAGTTCGTCGCCCTTCGCCGCACCGATACTGTTCACACCGAAGAAAGACAGGGGTTTTCGCATGTGCATTGATAACCGCGCACTAAACCGAGTTGCCATCAAGTCCCGTTACCCCATCCCGCGAGCCGACGAACTGATCGACCAACTTTGCACAGCCCGCTTTTTCTGGAAAATCGACCTTCGAGGAGGTTACCACCAGATCCGCGTCAACCCATCCGACTACCCGAAAATCGCCTTCTGAACCCGCTACGGATCATTCGAATACAATGTCATGCCATTTGGACTGACCAACGTCCCTGCGATTTTTCAAATGACCATGAATGAAGTTTTCCGCCCGCTTTTAGATAAGTGTGTCATCGTTTATTTAGACGACCTGCTGATTTACAGCCCGGACAAAGCACAACACATACAAGAGATCGAAGCAGTTTTCAAGATACTGATTGAAAACTGCCTACTGAGAAAATCGTCTAAGTGTGAGTTTTTCCAGGACAGAATGGAGTTGTTAGGGCATTCTATTTCAGCTGACGGAGTGGAAATAGACCCGAAGAGAATCGCGACAATTCAAGCATGGCACGCGCCGACAAATTCGACCGAGCTGCAGGGTTTTTTGGGGTTCGTCAACTACGTGCGCCGGTTCGTCCCCGACATGGCGAAGCTGACTGCCCCACTGACAGACCTGCTGAGGAAGGAGGTTGAGTACACGTGGGGGGAGAAAGAGCAAGCTGCCTTCTCGGCCCTCAAGAAAATTTTGTGCTCGCCGCCCGTGCTTCACATCGCCGACCAACACCGCCCGTTCGAACTGGTCACCGACGCAAGCGACATCGCCGTGGGAGCAGTACTGTTGCAAGACTTTAAGAATGGCCTTCAGCCAATCGCGTACGAGTCTAGCAGGCTTCCCCGCCCGAACGCAACTACCCGATACACGACCGCGAGATGCTGGCGATCGTGCACGCGTTCAAGGTGTGGCGATGCTCTCTCACAAGAGCGGACATGATATTACGGACAGGCCACAGATCACTACAGTACCTTTACGCCCAACCAAACCTCAATCCGTGACAGATTTGCTGGCTGGACTATCTAGAGTCCACCTTCCACTACACCGTCACGTACAAAAAGGGAGCGTCAAACATTGCTGACGCACTCACTCCCCCCACCGCCCAACTTCACCTACTCGGCTAACTCGTCACCTACTCGGTTAATAGAGTCCAACCCACTATTAACAGTCCTATTCACCCACGAATACCGCACCGACCCATTTTTTACGACGGGAAATTCACAGCAACTGACACAAGCTAAGGGAGTGTATTACGCAAAAGCTGGTACCAATCGCATCTGGGTACCAGCGTATTTACTATATAGGGAATTGCTACTGCAGGAGGCACACGACGGGTTTACCTTGGGTCGTTTCGGGGTAGGAAAAACGCGACAGCAAGTGCAGCGGTACTATTACTGGTCGGAGTTGTTGACCGACGTACAGCACCACGTGGGGTCGTGTCCTACGTGCCAGGTGATGAAGAGCTCGCGAAAAAGAAAGGCGGGTCAGTTGCAGCTGATTCCACCGCTCGAGCGCGCATGGCAGCAGGTTACCATGGATTTCGTCACGGGGTTACCTTCGAGCCCTGGGGGTAACGACGCGGTTATGGTCGTCGTTGACAGACTGATGAAAATGGCTCACTTCGCAGCGTGCAGGAAATCGGTCTCAGGCGAAGAAATCGCTCGCCTGTTCATCGCAACCGTCCTCTGACCGCACGGGATACCAGCCGCGATAATCAGTGACCGTGACACGAAGTTTACCAGCAACTTCTGGAAGAACCTTTGGGAACAGTTGGGGACCAGGCTACAGTTCAGCTCGTCGTACCACCCCGAGACTGGCGGTCAAATGGAGCGGACGAACCAGACCATGAAGCAGCTGATTCGTGCCACGTGCGACGACCCGACAACATGGGAGCAGCAGCTGCCGCTGATCAATTTCGCATACAACAACACCACGTCAGCGACGACGCACCTGTTTTACCTGAACTACATGCAAAATCCAACAGTGCCTATGACGCCAAGTCTGGACAACCCCACGCCACGCGCGCAACAATTCGCCGAGATCCTGCAAGCTGCCCGATCCAGAGCCGTACACGCTGTGAAAATGAGAACGAGGAATGATGTGACTAGCAAGAATGGGAGTACAAATATGCAACCCTAGAATTGTGTACCCCCTAAGGCTAAACCCACTGTAGCCTACAAAGCTACAACATATATAATGTTTGACACACCCCCATAGGCAAAGTGGGGGAGAACAAGGGGTCACAAGACCAGTCAAGCAAAGCAAAGCAAGCTCAGGGTGGATCTCAATGTCACCACACATTCTGAGCACAAGTTCAAGGCCACAAGGCCAGTTCACATGCAAGATTACATATATATAACGCTAAACAAGCAAGAGCATGAATATATATATGTAACAGTACAAGCAAGGTCAAGAAGTGAGCAAGTGAGGCAAGGTAGGCACAAGACCTAACAGAGTACAAAAGCGCTGATGATCACAAGGCGCGAGTGCCTTAGTGAAGATATCAGCAGTGTTGGCCTGAGAGGCCACGTAAGCAAGGCGCAGCTGACCACGCTGCTGCAGCTCACGAGCAAGGAAGTAGCGCAGAGCGATGTGCTTCGTTCTGTGCTCCAGTCTGTGCTCCCGACACAAGGCCAGCATGGCCTTGTTGTCTACGTACAGCACTGGAGGAGAACGAGGCGGCTCTCCCAGGTCAGTCAGCAGGTAGGTGAGCCAGCGTAGCTCCTGTGCAGCCATGGCCCCTGCGTAGATCTCAGCCTCACAACTGGAGCCAAGAACAGAAGATGAGCGGGTAGACCGCCACGAAACAGAGCCGGAACCAAGGCTGAAGGTGTAACCCTGTGACGACCGCTGCGTAGCCTGGTCGTCAGCCCAAGAAGCGTCTGCGTGACCAGTGAGGACCACTGGACTCTGCCCTCCAAGCACAAGCCCCATGCCCGACGTACTGCACAAGTAGCGCAACACCCTCTTCGCTGCAGCCATGTGCTCTGGTCTGTGTCTCCCAGGAGCAACAAAGCGTGCCAGAATGCTAAGAGGGTATGCAAGGTCAGGTCGAGTGCAGGTCATCAGGTACATGAGGCAGCCAACAAGCTCTGGGTACGGGCCACTCGACTCTACGGACTCATCCGAAGGCAGAGCTGAGAGCGAGTGGCGTGTAGACAGAGGAGTGGCCTGAGGCGAGGAGTACGTGAAGCCGAAGCGCTGAAGGACCTGCTGCACCATGTGTGACTGAGTCAGGGTAATGGTGCACTGTGCTCTGTCCCGGGTGATCTGCAAGCCAAGGTAGCTGCGCAGTTCACCCAGGTCTGTGCACGTGTGTCTCTTCTGCAGCTCGGACTTCACGTAGGCGAGTCCAGCAGTGTCAGCTGTAGCAAAGACCAAGTCTTCGACGTACACGAGGATGTAGAACAGCGGCAAAGAAGTGTCGGTGCGTGGAAACAGCAACGGGTCGGCAGTAGAGGGAGCAAACCCAAGAGCCGCAAGTGTAGTCTTCAGTGTGTCGTGCCACTCACGAGGTGCCTGGCGGAGACCGTAGACTGGCCGCCGAAGGCTCCACTGGGTGCCAGGAGGAAAAGTCCCAGTGAAGCCAGGTGGACGGCGCAGCCAGATCTCCTCGTGCAGGCTGCCCTGCAAGAAAGCAGTGCTGAAGTCAAGAGAGTGCAGCTCGTAGTCTCGGTGAGCGGCTATGTGCAGCAGTACCCGAAGAGTGGTCATCTTCGGGGTGGGAGAGAAGGTCTGAAAGTAGTCAACTCCCTGCCGCTGACTGAAGCCACGAGCCACGTAACGCGCCTTGAAGACAGACGGAGAACCCGGCGGCCGCTTCACCCTGAAAATCCACATGCCACTGACGATGTTCGCCCCAGGCGGGGGAACCTCGTCAACGTAGGTGCCTGTGGACTTCCAGGAAGCCATCTCTGCGTCCATGGCTGCCTGCCACTGAGAGGAGTAGGGACCCTCTATCGCCTCCGCGTAAGAGCGAGGATTCGGGATGTCAAGTGCATCCGGGTCTCCCTCAGGGGCAAGCAGCATGGACACGAGATGAGGTGAAGCAGCAGCCAAGTTCTGGAACTCCTCCTACCTGTCCTCAAGGACGTCCGTGCCAAGAGCACACTCACCCCCGACGGACGGAGGACAGACAGACGCAGACTCAGCGACGAGACTGGCAGCGTAGTCTAGGCGACAGCGAGCAGCGAAGTCGACAAGCTCAGCAACTAGGGCAGACGCAGCAGTAGACTCAAAGGAAGGGTCAGTGACGACAGTAGCAAGGAGACGCGTGACAGTAGGACGCGCAGCACGAAGGGAGTCCGACTCCGGGTCAGCAAGTGCAGGAAGAGAGGACTCGGGAGGAGAAGGCAAAGGGGCACGCAGTGGAGCAGTGGAAGGACGCAGAGACATCCGGTGCGTGCCGGGGACAGGGGGAGGACGCTGACGCGAACCACGACCACTAGCGCGAGCAGCACGGACAGGCGACGCAGGGCGAGACGCAGGCTCACGACGCTCAGCAAGACCTCCAGTAGGACCAGTGTAGGGAGAAGGAGAAGGAAGCGGGGAGGCTGGCTGTAACTGTGACTCAGACTGGACAGGAGGCGGACACTCGAAGCCAGGAGCAGGACCAAGAGAGGACGGAAGACCAAGAACCTGCTCAAGGAGCGGAACGAAGTACGGCCGTGGCCGCGCAGCGCCACCAGTGCCAGCAGGAACAGCACCAGCACCCCCAACGGCAGCACCAGCACCAGGAGTACCCCCAGCTCCAGCAGCGCCAACTCCAGCACCCCCAGAAGCACCAGCGCCAGTAGCACCTCCAGTGCCAACACCCCCAGTAGTGCCAGCTCCAGTCGGATCACCAGAAGATGCAGCAGCTCCAGCTTCAGGAGCACCAGCAGCACCAACGCCAGTAGCACCACCAGCTCCAGCACCAGGAGCACCCGTAGGCCCAGCAGCTCCAGTACACCCTGTACGAGCACCTCCGGGACCCGCTGCACCAGCACCCTCAGCAGCAGCAGAACCTCCAGCGTCCGTAGCACCGCCAGCTCCAGCAGCACGCCTCCAGCGCCGGGCAAACCACTCACGCAGCTCCTGTGGAGAGAGTAGCTCCCGCCGGGACGAAGCACCCGAAGAACCTCCAGGCCCAGCACCACCAGACGCCACACGAGCAGGCCCAGCACCCTCAGGCTCCGCACTCCGAGACGCAGCACCCCCAGGCTCAGCACCCCCAGGCGTAACACTCCCAGGCTCAGCGCCCCCAGACGCAGCACCTCCAGGCTCAGCACCCCCAGGCTCAGCACCCCCAGACGCAGCACCTCCAGGCTCAGCACCCCCAGACTCAGCACCTCCAAGCTCAACACCCCCAGGCTCAGCACCCCCAGACCCAGCACCCCCAGCAGCACCAGAGTCAACAGCTACCTCGACAGGCTCGACCGCATCTACCTGGGACACACCTGAGGGGGCAGGACCCTGAGGGGGGAGGGGGTCTACCAGAGGGGGACCTGGCGTAAGGAAGAGCGGCGGGGGAGGGAGGGACGCAGTGCGGTAGGGGAAGAGACGGTAGTAGGGAACCGACTCGTCAAAGGTGACGTCCTAGGAGGACAGAACACGGCGCGAGGTGGGGTGGTAGAACTGCCAGCCTGGCGCGTCAGGAGGGAAGCCAAGGAAGACGCAGGGAACAGCACGAGAGGACAGCTTGTCCGCAGAAAAGTCACGGACAAACGCCCGAGATCCCCAGACACGGAACGCAGACGCATCGCCAACCTTCCCCGTCCACAGTAAAGCAGGGGAGGTCTCCGGCCTGGAGACCCGGGGGTGAAGGTTGATCTGATGCGCCGCGTACCGAACCGCAAACGGCCACAGAAAATGGGGGGCAGCCGCATGGACCATGGACGTACGAGCGACGTCCATGATCATGCCAATGCGGCGCTCAGCAATCCCATTTTGCTGTGGAG